TTGCCTGTTACTCCAGGTGTTTCTTGACTTCCTACTTTTGCATTCCAGTCCCCTATAATGAAAAGTACATCTTTTTTGGGTGTTAGTTCTAAAAGGTCTTGTAGGTCTTCATAGAACCGTTCAACTTCAGCTTCTTCAGTAATTTGAATAGCTGCTGTATAAATGAAAAATTGATTCACAAGCCCCTGGTACCATAATCATCCATTTTATCAAGTCTCCTAAATATGTTCTATGTTAGTTTTCTTGATCATAAGATGAATATGAAAATATTTTTAATATAAAAGTATTTATAATTATATAGTTTCCCATGAAGACACTAGTCACTTAATGTTTATATTACCCATTTCCATTGGTTGGTGGGAGGCTCTTCCACTGACTCCCAGGTTTTCCACTCCACCATTTTTCTTGCAGACTTAATTCATTTTCAGTCTAAAAAATCACCTCTTCTATTTGACCACCTTGAAGTTGCTTTTCTAATTTTATAACCTCTGGTTCCGTTTTAACTGTACCCAGCTTCTCATTTGTAGTCTGTACTATATACCTTCTATATGGTGCATTTTTAGGGAATCATCCAAGAATATCCAAGAATCTTTGTATACAATATTCTTAGCTTCTCATGTGGACTCTTAAATATAAGCCAATCCCACAAGGCCAGTGGTCTTCTGTGGTCAGCCCACCATGACAGCCCAGTTTTATATATTTTTCAGCTTTATTTTTGACATATGGATTATTCTTTTTGTACCTTTTTGTGTTCTAGTTGCTTAAAAAAAAAAAAGCCAGTTAAGAACTTTCACCTCCCTGTTCATGATAGATACTGGTCTGTAGTTTTCTGTTAATGTCTCTGTCTGTCTGGCCTCTCATAGAATGAAGTGATGTTTCCTTCTCTTTAGTTTTCCTTTTTGGGTAAATTTGGTATTATTTTAATAAAATTCATCAATGAAGCAATCTGGGCCTGGAGTTTCTTTTGTGTAGTGTTTTTAAACCACAAGTTTAGTTCCTTTAAGATTTAGGGTTAGCTGTTTCTTTTTTGGTAAGATTTGTGTCTTTGATGGAAGTTTGACTTATTGGCATAAACTTGGTCTCAGTGTTTGCTTATTTTTCTGTTAATCTTTGTAGATTCTATAGTGGTGTTATTACTCATTCCTTATATTGGTAGTTGTATCTTCTCTTCCCAGTTTGTCTATAGCTTCATCAGTTTTATTGAGTTTTTTCAAAGAACAAGCTTGTGGTTTCCTTGATTTTCCTTCATTGTTTTTCTGTTTCACTGATCTTTAATCTTCATTCATTTCTTCTAAGAAGCTTAGGTCATTGGCTTAGGGTCTTCCTACTTTTCTAGTGTAGACATTTACTCTCCTTGAGTAATTGACACTGACACCATTATGACAGATTATCCTCTTATCCATTTGCTTTGAAATTATTGCTTTGAAATAAAATTTGATTGATAAGAATATGGGTACATGACAAACTATGGTATATTTTTTCCATTCTTTTTACTTTTAACCTACTAAAAAAACTTCCTGGTAGGCAACATATAGTTGGATTTTGCTTTTTAATTTTTTCTCTGGGACTCTCTAATTGGGGTGTTTACTTCACTCCCATTTAATGTGATTATGAATGTATTTGTTTTCAATCAGTATCCTGCTATTTGTTTTGTATTATAGTAGTCCTAGCTGTTTATTGTTTTTTTCTGCCTTTTTTCTGCCTTTCTTTGAATTAATTGTTCTTTTTGATGTTGTATTTTCTCCTTTGTTTTCTTTGAGCTCTAACTTTTTGTGTCATTTTAGTGGTTGCTTTAGGAATTATGCACCTTTAATGTATCATAGTCTGCCTTTAGCTGATTCCCTCATAGGTCAGTTGGTCAAGAATCTGCCTGCAATGCAGGAGACTCAGATTTGATTCCTGGGTGGGAAAGATCCCCTGGAGAAGGAAATAGCAACCCACTCCAGTATTTTTGCCTGGAGAATCCCATGGACAGAGGAACCTGGCAGGCTATAGTCCGTGGGGTCGCAAAGAGTTGGACTCAACTTAGCGACTAAACCCACCACCTTCAGGTGATACTACACTGTCTCATGTATAGTATATCAATCATACAGTAATATATCTCCGTTTCTTCCCTCCCAGCCATAGTGCTGCTTCTGTTATGCGCTTCTTTGTATGTTGTAAATGTTACAGTTTAAATTAATTTTTCTGAACATCAGGTTATCTATTTAAATGAGTTAAGTAATAAGAAAAGAATATCTATATTTACTCACAAAGTTACTTTTCCAGTGTTCCTCATTTCCTTTTGGAGATCCATTTTCCATCTCGAATCATTTTTCATCTGCTTGAAGGAATTCCTTTTTTATGTCTTGTCAGCTCAGATCTGCGATTCTTCCTTTCAGCTTCTTGTGGCTAAACTAGTAATTATTTTACTTCATGTTTGCAACATATTTTAGTTGACTGTAAAATTTTACGTTGACATTGTTTTCATTGAGAATTTGCTGTCATTCTTATTTTTGTTCTTCTGTACATACCATGTCTTTTATCTAAGACTGCTTTTAGGATTTTCTTTTTATTTCTCTGGTTTTTATTTTCATGGTTCAAGCACTTCTGGTTCGTTGTGCTTCTTAGATCTTTAGGTTTTAAGTTTTCTTCCATTTTGTAAAATTGTCACTGTTCTTAAAAAAATTTTTTTTCCTGTACCTTTAGGAAGTCTAGTTCCATGTATATTAGGACTCCTCAGGTTGTTCCACAGATAAATGACATTGTTCATTTTTAAACTGTTTTTTCTGTTTCACACGAATAGTTTCTGTTGCTATTATCTTCATGTGCACTCATTTTTACTTCATTTTCTTAGGCTGTCAATGTTACCAGACTATTTAAATCTCAGACATCCTAGCTACTTCTCTAGAAATTTTATTTGAGTATTTTTTTATCTTTCATGTCTCTGATTCTCTTTTGAACATATGGAATACAGATATAATAAGTATTTCAACTTAACTTATCTGCTGATGGTAATATCTGTGTCAATTCTGGATTGTTTAGATCAGTTGCTTTTTTTCCTCTTTCTGAGTTGAGTGGTGTTTTCCTGCCTTTCTTCCAACATGCTAACTGTTAGTTGGTTGCCATACATTGTGAGTTTTACCCTGAATGTTGCTGAGATTTTTGTGTGTGTAATGAATCTTGAGCTTAATGCAGTTAAATTACTCTCAAAACAGTTTGATCCCTTTGGGTCTTTTTTTTTGGATTTGTTGAGTGGATTCAGAGCTGGTATTATTCAGGGACTAATAATTCCCTATCACTGGGTATTTTACTCAGTGCCTTGTGCATTATGAGGTCTTCTCTCTAGATGATGGGAACAGGCAGTAGCTGGGACCTCTGTGTTCTAATCCTTTCATAAAAGTTCTTTCTGTGTCTCTGGGCCAGGCCCATTTATGTAGGCATCTTATCTGGATGAGTGAGAATGCCTGCATATCTCCAGGGCACTCTCTGTGCAACTTTTCCCTCTCTTATCCTATCCTGTGAACTTTGGCCACATTGGACTCCCTGGCGCAGAGCCCAACCTCCTCTTCTCGCAGAGACCACTGGGCTCCATCTGGTTCTGTCCCTGTGCTGAGGGCAGTGAGCTGGAACTTGTGTCTGACACTGTCTGTGGTGAACATACTAGCTTCTCACCATTGTTTTGGATTTTTGTTTTGTTTTACATTTCATCAATAAGTAAATACAGATAGTTATCAGAGTATTTTCATGGCTTATATATGTATAACATAAATTGTTGTTAGTGCATTTTGCAAAAGCATTTACATATTTTTGTAGTTATAGTGAACCTTTGATGAAAATAACTTCTTTAGAGAAACAAAGATGTTTGTTTTAAAACTGCAAGATTATTAGTGATACTAATATTTAATCTGTGAAATAGCAAAATGCAGATTGCAGTGTGCTTTGAAATGAAATGGAAAGGTCAAATTATAGAAATAGAGCAAACTCTGATCTTAAAAATTGAACCCAGTTTTATTTTACTTTCCCAGGTGTGCCTTCTGATGCTGATTCTTCTCCTGCCAGTAATAAAATCAGTGGTGCAAATAATTCTAAACCAAACCGCCCTTCTCTTGCCAAGATTCTCCTATCATTAGATGGAAATCTGGCCAAACAACAGGCCTTATCTCATATACTTACAGCCTTGCAAATCATGTATGCCAGGTAGGCTTGCTTGCTAGTTTTTGAAATCCCACAATTATGTAAACTTTAGGTTTTTTTCATTTTTTAATGGAGAATGTTTGTTACTGTTTTTAAATACTATGAGTTTTAGGTCATACACTCTTTGATAGTGAATGATGGTATCTATGCTTTTCTTTAATGGAGGTTGAAATATGAATTAGAAAATCAAGTTGAAGAACATTGTCATTTTTCTTTTTGGCCAATAAGCTTTAGACCTGTTTTGGGGGAAGAATTAGTTGATGCTTATATATGGTAATATTTAGGACAGTTGTCGTCTCCTTCACTCTTGATACGGCAGAGATTTGATAGTGCTGTCTTTTCCTCCATTTTGCTGCTATTTTCATGCAGACTAAATAAATGGCCCATCAGTCATTGTATTGTGGTTATGTACGTGATGAATAGAAATAAATACTTAGGGACATTAATTTAGACTAAAGGCTAACTTAGTTGTTGAGAGGCCATTTAGTCTTTGCTGCCTTGTGTGAGGCACCTTTGGTATCTGGCTTGCAATAAACGCAAAATCACTATGGGTGGTGACTGCAGCCATGAAGTTAGAAGATGATTGCTTCTTGGCAGGAAAGCTGTGGCAAACCTAGACAGTGTATTAAAAAACAAAGACATCAGTTTGCCAACAAAGGTCCATATAGTCAAGGCTATAATCAAAGTCTTTCCAGTAGTTATGTACAGATGTGAGAGCTGGACCATAAAGAAGGCAGAGTGCTGAAGAATTGATGCTTTCAAACTGTGGTGCTGGAGAAGACTCTTGAGAACCCCTTGGAGAGCAAGGAGATCAAACCAGTTAATCTTAAAGGAGATAAGTTCTGAATAATCATTGGAAGGACTAATGCTGAAGCTCCAATACTTTGGCCATCTAATGTGAATAGCTGGAAAAGACTCTGATGCTGGGAAAGCTTGAAGGCAGAAGGAGAAGAGGGCAACAGAGGATGAGATGGTTGGAAGGCATCACTGACTCAATGGACATGACCTTGGGCAAACTCCAGGAGACAGTGAGAGACAGGGAAGCCTGGCGTGCCTGCAGTTCATGGGGTCACAAAGAGTTGGATATGACTTGGTGACCTAACAACACAACCCCAAATTATCCTTAGACTCTTAACAACCAAGATGGTTTCTCAGAGAAATCCAGAGGCTTATTCTGGTCTGATTTTTATGTTGGCAGTTTTTCACCTGTTACCACTATGGTCGTTCAGTAAATATCAGGAGTAAATATTTTAGGCAACAGATACATAGTAATAACATTCAGTATCTTTCTAAAACTCTTTTTTTATGGTTATCCTATAATAATGAGGGAATCCTTCAGTCAGCAGTTGCCCTGCCCCTGGCTCTGCCATCCTGCAGAGGTGGATGCAGTTCACCGCAGGCTGACTTTCCCTCCTGACAGAGACGCCGTGGTTGGGGCCCTGATGCCAGCTGGCATGGTTGCCCCGGTGGAGTGTCCTTCCTTCTCCTCCTCGGCACCCCCTTCTGACGTATCTGCCATGGCCAGCCCCATGAATGGAGAGGAGTGTGTGCTGGCTGTTGATATTGAAGACAGATTGAGTCCAAATCCATGGCAAGAAAAGAGAGGAGAGGTAAAAATAAACGGTAAAGCAGTGTTTGATCAGGAAGTGAAAGGTAGCTCATTTGTGTCTTATAAAGTGTAAGTCATTCTTTCACTTAATTCAGAATGTTTTTGTGTCTACTACTATGATTTTTGGCTTGAATTAGTATTCTATTTTTTTTTTTTACAGTTTATTATTATTATTTTTTTCCATTTATTTTTATTAGTTGGAGGCTAATTACTTTACATCATTGCAGTGGTTTTTGTCTATTCTATTTAAAAGGATCCTTTTAGTGTGTACATGGGAATATTCTTTTAAAAAGTTGCTAAGTGCACCACACAGTTGTTCGTAGTTCTGAAACTTGAACGCTCTGAAAACTAAAGGTTTTTGTAATTTAATTTGGGGAAGAGCCCAGCTTGGAGAGATGTGAGCTCATTTTAGTTGTTTTCATGTGATTGCTTGTGAATATTAATAGGTTTTCCTGGGAACATGAATATGCTTAACTTTACAGAGCTGTCCCAGACTGTAGTGGAGGTGGTAGCTGGTAGTATAAATGTCTTGTTATCTCTGTAAAATCTGGCATATTCCAGATGACCTAATGGGTAAGTAAGCCTTTTGGAGTTAGATGGGAAGTGTGCCATGTTGCCAAGTTTGTCCTTTTTCTTCCTCATTTTCAAACTAGATTATCTCTTCTGAGGATGCTGTGACCCCTTCTGCAGTGACCCCATCTGCTTGCTCAGCTTCTTCTCGGCCGTTTATACCAGTAACAGATGACCCAGGAGCTGCCAGCATCATTGCAGAAACCATGACCAAAACCAAAGAGGTCAAGGGGTTTTCTTCTTTAATGGTTTATTCTGAAATAATCTTAAATGTACACACAAATTGCAGAAATATTTCCTAGAAATAGAACATGGTATAACTCCTTTGTACTATCCACCTAGATTCTCCAGTAGTTAGTGTTTCTAAACTGTTGGTGGGAGAGCTGCATGGCTTAATCCCTACCCTCCTTAAAGCTTCAGAGTGTGCTTCCTAATTATCAGGACATTGCCATTGATCAGGGACTATTTTCTGCCCCAGAGACCGACTCAGATTTTGCTCATTACAGGTCTAGAACCTGCCCAGGGGTACCTCTTTTTGTCTTCAATATGGAACCATCCTTAAGTTCCTCTTTTTATAAGAAATGCCACAGGAATGATGCAGAGTTCTTTTCAGTGCATTCTGTTGAGGTGTGTGCATTGTTGATTTGCTGCATTACAGGTGATATTAATTCTTATTACTTTGTTAAATTTGTCTGCAAGATTTCTCCATTGGAAGTTAATAAATTTAAGAAAAGCATGCTTGTAGATATTCATGGGGAGATAATTTACTTTGGGACTATGTTACTACCTTATCCCTCATTGTGTTTTAATCTGCCAGTTTTTAGTATCTTGATAATTCCAGCTGGGTCCATTACTACTGTGGTAATTGTCAAATGGTGATCTTTCAGATTTCATCATTCCTTTTGGAATACCATTGTTGCTATTCTTCAGTAGGGAAGAACTTTCCCTTTTCATCTCATCTTTCTGTCAGTATATATTCATGGAATTCTATTTTACTCAAATAATGACATGTATTGCTATCATCATTTGATACCCAAATTGTCCCAGACTTGGCCTTTCATAGGCCTTTCCATCTAGCTTGTCTTTCTGATGTGTCCCCATATTTCTTTGAGCACTTTACTTTCTAGCACAGTTTAGTTCAGTCACTCGGGTCTGTCTGATTCTTTGCAACCGCATGGGCTGTAGGACTCCAGGCTTCCCTGTCCATCACCAATATGCGGAGCTTGCTCAAACTCATGTCCATTGAGTTGGTGATATCATTCAACCATCTCATCCTCTGTCGTCCCCTTCTCCTCCTGCCTTCAGTCTTTCCAGTATCAGAGTCTTTTCCAATGAGTCAGTTCTTTGCATCAGGTGGCCAGAGTATTGGAGCGTCAGCTTCAGCATCAGTCCTTCCAATGAATATTCAGGACTGGTTTCTTTTAGGATTGAATCTCTTTGCAGTCAGAGGGACTCTCAAGAGTCTTCTCCAACACCACAGTTCAAAAGCATCAATTCTTTGGTGCTCAGCTTTCTCTATGGTGCAACTCTCACATCTATACATGACTACTGGAAAAACCATAGCTTTGACTAGGTGGACCTTTGTCGGCAAAGTAATGTCTCTGCTTTTTAATATGCTATCTAGTCTTGTCATAGCTTTTCTTTTAATTTCATGGTGCAGTCATCATCTGCAATGATTCTGGAGCCCAAGGAAATAAAATCTCTCACTGTTTCCATTGTTTCCCCATCTATTTGCCATGAAGTGTTGGGACCAGATGCCATCCATGATCTTAGTTTTTTAAAAGTTGAATTTAAAGCCAGCTTTTCACTCTCCTCTTTTACCTTTATTAAGAGGCTCTTTACCTCCTCGTCACTTTCTTCCTTAAGTGAATACTGGGGTGCTCCAACCTTTGTCCTTGACTCTTTATTTAGATGAGTCTATCAGTTCTACAGCAAAGAAGTCCAAAATAAAACTTCTTGCAATTTTTTCTCAATTTCAGTATTTCCAGGGGCTCTTTTCAAATAAGGCCCCTTCCAAGATCCAGCTACAAAAGGCTATATCGAGGAATGTTCTTAAATGTTATTTCAATTCACTTCCTTCCCTTTTCTTGATGGATTTCTTGCAACATTTCTAGACTAAGAATGCAATACCAAGAGTCATGTACATAACATAATAGACAGTGAATTATGCTGAATCCATCTGATGAACAGATCATTTCAGCTAACAACACTTTGTTAAAATATTTCCTGAAAAGCTGTTCCTTTTCTCAAAGTTAGAATAATGTGAAAAGTGTATATGGTTTATACTTGTTCTGCTTTTCCTTCATGGCTTGAAATTTCCATTGTCTGCCTNACCATTTTGCCTTTTTACATTTCTTTTTCTTGCAGATGGTTTTGATCATGGCTTCATGTACAGTGTTATAAACTTCCGTCCATAGTTCATCAGGCAGTCTGTCTATCATATCTAATCCCTTAAATCTATTTGTCACTTCCACTGTTTAATCATAAGGGTTTGATTTGGTTCTTACCTGAATGGTCTAGTGTTTTTCTCTACTTTCTTCATGATCTGAGCCACAGTCAGCTCCTAGTCTTGTTTTTGCTGACTGTGTAGAGCTTCTCCATCTTTGGCTGCAAAGAATGCAGCCAAATGGTGATGTCAGTCTGATTTCCTTATTGACTGTCTGGTGATGTCCATGTGTAGAGTCAGCTCTGGTGTTGGAAGAGGGTGTTTGCTATGACCAGTACATTCTCTTGGCGAAACTCTGTGATCCTTTTTGTTCTCCAGGGCCCAACTTGCCTATTGGATTGCTTTGCTATTTTGTTAAGGATTTTTGCACTATATCTTCTCCTGATTTGCATTAAAGTGTAATACTGGCCTCCTGGATGAGTTAGGTTGTGTTCCTCTTCTGTTTGTTGGAAGAGTTTGTGAAAGATTGGTGTCAGTTCTTTAAATATTTGGTAGAATTTTCTCTCTTTGAACATACTCTCATTATTCTTTTATTTTGTTGTTTCCTGCACAACACAGAATTCTAGGTTCATCAGGATGTTTTATGCTACAGTACAGAAATCATATTTCTCCAAAAACTCATGGTTCTTTTTCTTGCAGAATGGTATTTCAAAGCCAAGATCTGAAATATCTTTTTTTTTCTGTGGCAGGAAGTGTAATTCATCTCCTTTCCTACTGGGCAGAACTAGAAAATACGTGTGTTTATATGCTTTCAATAAGTTATGCATGTTAATATGTATTTTGGTAAATACCTACATATTTTGAAAACCAGTCGGTACTAATAACTGCACAGGATTCATTCCAGTTTCTTCCTTTTCCGTGTTGATCGTGCTCTTCTCTGGAAGTGGGGACTCTGGCTCCTCTGTTGACAGTTTAGTAACTTCCCTCGGGCAGCCGCCTTCGTGTTTGGCTGCCTCTCATCGCCCACGTGGATCCCTCCTTCCCCTGCACCGCTTCTGGCACTCAGAACCAGGCTGCCTGTGCAGGGTTGACCTCATCCTGTCTGACCCACCCCATCCCAAGTGCCAGCTGGTCCAAAGCAGGAATACTTTCCACTTGGCTTGCCTCTGTCACATTGCGGCCTCTCCCCACTGCGATGTGGACGCCCTCCCAAGCCTACTCAAATGCTCCTTATCCCAGGCCATCTCATCCTGCTCACATGGTCTCCCTTGCCACCATATTTACCTTGTGAACAAGCATATTATTTTCAATTACATTTAGAACTCTTCATTTTTTGTGCTGTTACTAGTGACAAAAATACATGCTATGGAAAATATTCATAACCTGTAGTAATAAGAAAATTGATATTTGTAAATTAGATGTCTGGACTCCACTTGTGATATTTGGCAATCTCCTAAGGTGAGGTCTTAATGTAGAAATTAATCTGAATTATGCAAAATTTTTTCTTTTAGGTAGAAGAAAGATGGTATAATTTCTTTCTTACCAATTTGTTTATGAGGCATAGGCATCATCCAGATTATAACCTGAAATTACTATCATTTCAATTTTTTTTGTTTCATTAATAACAGGAAAGTAATTTTCATGTTAGTTTTGGGCACAGTGGTCAAGAATCTGCCTGCTAATGCAGGAGACACAAGAGATGCATGTTTGATCCCTGGGTTGGGAAGATTCCCTGGAAGACGACATGGCAACCCACTCCAGTATGCTTGCCTGGGAAATCCCATGGACAGAGGAGAGCTGGTCAGGCTATACAGTTCATGGGGTCGCCAGAGAGTCAGACATGACTTAGTGACTAAACAACAGCAAGGTTATGCAGCTAGTGATTTTATTTTTCAGCTATTCCTTTGCATTTGTTCTCTCTCTCTCTTTTTTTTAAACAACCCCACCAAAAAATGTTTGGTATTGTTTCAAATAAGACCAAAGATGTTATATATGATTAATACATTCCGCTGAATGTTTTTGCTGGTCTTCAGTGAATGAGATTCTGGAGTGTCTTCATTTTTGATGCACTTCACTTGCTGATTCCCTGTGTCTTCACTTGAAGGTGGGAGCAGGGTCTGTTTCTTTTCAGGGAGAAACCATGCTCCTGCCTCAGAACTATGGTTTCCAGGGCCAACTTGAGCATTGATGGAATCTACACATTGTTGGGATCACAATTCCCCTTAAGATTACTAAGTGGGGCTTGTGCTTTCCCTGGCTTATTTCTATTTCTGAAAACCACTGACAGTGATTTCACTGAGATCCAGAAAGCAAGAGAGTAGAGAAGAGATACTTGTGGCATCTTGTTCTTTTCCCAGGAGAGCTGGCTTCTGCCTAGGAAACAGGAAGGGCTCAGGTCCCTGATACCCACTCCTTCTGAGCTTAGAAGCTGTTGGATCTCCCTGTCACCTTCCATAAGCCAGACCCACTGCCAGCCTTCATGAGGCTCCTTTGAGGTGGCAGAGGCTGTGGGGTGACTGTCCTGGGCAGGAAACCCTCGTGACGTGGGATTGTGATGGGTCAGTAATGCTGTCCCAGGCAAACAAGCAATTCCTTTTTCTACTGATGTGGAAAGAGGTAAATAATCACAGATGTGGTTTGTTTTAACTGACATATTGTGAATGAGAAGTAAAAGGGGAGTACTGAGAAGACTATTTTCTTCTTTACAGTACCTAAGGAATGAGAGATTATGAGCAATGTTTATATGTCAATAAGTCCATTAAGTAAATTCTGAGAAAGAATTATGGAGAGGATCTAGGCAATAGATGTAAAAGTATAGTGTACAAATGCAGTTGACAGAAGACTCCCAAACATACCCTGTGGTGGTAGATTTTACATGGTGAGATTTCATTTGAAGTCTCCCCTTGAAACACACCTCAGATATGAAGTTGGTCACAGTATAAATTGTCATTTCTTTATAGTTAGGCATTCCTTTTGACAGCTGCTGTTGATACTTTGTAAAATAGTTGATTGATTTTGAAAGCTTGGTACACAGGTGGTGTAGATTTAGGGGCCTGTTATTTCCTATTCTAGTATTTCATGGTTTTAAATACCTCAGAAAGTTCCTTACTCATTATTGGCAATCATGTATCCTTTGAGTTCTTGACTGTTTGTCTGTTACTGTATGATTCCTCATTTTAATTGTTGAACTTTTTTAGGATGTTGAAAGCCAGAATAAAGCGTCAGGCGCAGAACTTCAGTCCTTGGATGAGTTCACTAGTTTGCTGGTGGTGGACGACACACGTGTCATGGTGGACCTGCTCAAGCTGTCTGTGTGTGGCCGGGCGGGCGACAAGGGCCGGGACGTGCTTTCAGCTGTGCTGTCTGGCATGGGCACTGCCTACCCACAGGTGAGCTGCAGGGGGGCGGCTGGGCTGGAGGTGCCGCTGCCATCCTGTGCTTGAAGGGCTTTTGGTGAAAATGAGTCCCTTCTCTGCCATCTGCTGACTTGCTCCTCAGTTTGCCCTTTAACATTGTCTTAATATTTTAGAATTTAGAAATTTCTAGTTTTTGCAAAGTCAGATCTGCCGAGCCTTCTCATTTATGGCTTCTGGATTTTGTACTGCACTATAAACATGGCATGAGCATGACATTGTGTATGAAGCCTCTCAGGCTTCTGTTAATCATCTTTGTTTCCATTTGTTACTGTTTTACTGGAATATAATTGCTTTACAATGTTGCATTAGCTTTTGTTATACCAACATCATGAATCAGCCACATATATATATATATGTATATACAGATTATGTATCCCCTCCCTCTTGAGCTTCCCTCCCACCGCCTCATACAGCCTCTCTGGGTCACCACAGAGTACGAAGCTGCGCTTCATTTGTTACTATATTTACCTTTTTGAACCATCTGCAACTTATCTTGATATAGGGGATAAAGTGGGGATTCAGCTTTACTTTTTCCTAGATGGCAAACATGTTGCAGCAACACAGTTTATTGACTGAACCCATCTTCTTCCCAGTGACTTGAAGGCCACTCTTACTGTATCGTAAACTTGTGTACTTATTTGGGTCCTTTATAGACTTTTTTTGGTTCCATTATTCTAGTTTTTAATAATTTAATATCACAGTATTTTTTCCATTTATTTTTATTAGTTGGAGGCTAATTACTTTACAATCTCCACACCCTCTCCAGCATTTATTGCTTGTAGACTTTTGGATAGCAGCCATCCTGACTGGCGTATCACCGTATTTTTAACCATTAACTATTCAAAGTAGGTTTTAGTATTTGGTAGCACTGGGCTCTGTAGTACTGTCTGCCCTGATGATCTGTCTGTACCTGAGTCATCCAGTGTGCTGACTCCTAGCCACGTACGGCTCTTGAGCTCTTGAAGTGTAGCTAGTGCCCCTGCGGCACTGACGTTTTCATTGTATTTCACTTTAAGTTTGAACAGCCACATGTGGCTAGTATCGGGTATCAAGTCAGTGTTATGTGAGTGCACCTTAGACGTAGAACCCATCAGTTCTGAAGCCCCAGGCTTCCTTAAGGCCCAAGCCGCATGTGGCTAGTATCGGGTATCAAGTCAGTGTTATGTGAGTGCACCTTAGACGTAGAACCCATCAGTTCTGAAGCCCCGGGCTTCCTTAAGGCCCCGTGCCGCTTATGCGCAGCCCTGCTCTGCGTCAGCACCGGCCGTGTCAGGGGGGCTGCGGCCACACGCCCCCTGCAGCTGCGTCACCTGTGCTCGGTTTCCTTGTCCCCACCACCAAGACCGTAATGTACTTAAGAAGGCTTGAGCGTTCTTGAAATCATAGTAAATGATTTGGTAGATATTTTAGGGGCTTGTTAGTTCTTAATCAGATTCAGGAAGAACTGAAAGGTTATAGATTTCCTACTTCGTAGTTTTTCAAGGCAAGTTACTTGTCATAATTCTGAGAGATTAAATCAAGGTGAATTTCCATAAGCAAAATATTAATGTTTTTACAAGTGTATTGCATTTGTGAGGGGAAAGGATGGAATGAGAACATGGATTTAAAGTAATAATACCTAGGATTTGTTGTATACATATCTTCCAGGCCTGGTTCTTGGTGCATTCGCTGAGTACAGAGCACAGGCTTTCCCTTTGTTTACAGATAAGAAAGCTGAAGCTCACAGTGGTCATTACTCCCTCAAAGACACTCAGGTTTCTGGTGGATGGGAGAAATGATCGTGGTCTCTGAGGGCAGAACCACACCTGTGACCCCTCTGTCACCCTCTTCTCAGAGTTTATTTGCCTCTCTTGGGGTACTGGCTGTCTTTGCAGAAGAAGGTCTTAAAGCTCAGAACACCCCTGCTGGGCTGTGCATTAGGAGTTACATGACATCTACATTTCAAATTCAATGGGAGACAGAAACAGAGATGGGGACTCTTCCAACTTTCCTGGCCAGTGGCAGGTGCTGCTCTTATGTCCCATCCTGATCTAGTATTTGAGACTCTTTAAACACGAGAAACTTTTGCATTCATAATTATAAAACCTAAATTATGGCAATGAGTATAGTTTGTCATTAATGAAACTTCTTACTAAGATAATCTTTATTATCTAAATACAAGGGAAAATAGATTAAAATAATTATTTCTGGAAGAATAGAGAATGGTTTCATTACATTTTTCTAAATTTAAAAACTTTGGAAGTTAATGTATTATTACTGTAACAACGTATTGTTTGTTTTTAAAATAGCAGTCAAAATATAGTCACCAGTATTGGCCATTTAAATGGTGTGACTCACTAAAATTTTAAAATGAAGTCTGAGCATTATGGATTGTTGGGCGAGTATGGTATGGGGGTTGACCCTAAGTGTCTTGGGTCAGGAGACACCCCGGGTTCTCTCATTTCGGGTGCTGTCTACCCCTGTTCAGCCTCAACAGCTGGGTCATCCCTCTCCATTTCCTGCCCCTCTTGCTTGACCCCATGCCTGCTAGTATCTTGGTCATTTTTATCACCTGCTCCTTGCTTGAAAGTTTTGTTCCTGGGTAGACTTTCCTCACTAGGACATAACCTTATCTTGATGTGAAGAGAAAGTGTTGGGATAACGGGCATTTCGTTTCATTGGTTGGCATGTATTGGTGTTGTGTGTGTCCGCTGCTCCCTTACTCCTTGTACATAGACCCCACCAAGCTTCCCAGCACCCCTGCCAACTCTGCTATCATGATTTTATCAGTGAGGAGACTGAGCCCTGACTTAAACTAGATTTCTCAAACTCCCAAGCTCTCCATGCCCCCGTCCCTGTGGAGAGAACTGAACCGGGCAGGCATCCTGATGTCTTCCTGCTTTGTCCCCTGCTTCCCCCCATAGGTGGCAGATATGTTGTTGGAGCTCTGCGTCACCGAGTTGGAGGATGTGGCCACAGACTCACAGAGCGGCCGCCTGTCCTCGCAGCCTGTGGTGGTGGAGAGCAGCCATCCCTACACCGACGACACGTCGTCCAGCGGCACAGTGAAGATCCCAGGTACTGAGGGCTGGCCCCAGGGAGCAGACGGGGTCATACAGAAGCTGCCTGTAGAACGGCTTCATTTCTGCCATTGCATCAGTTGAAGCAGCCGTCCTTGTTTTACATTAAAAAAAAGCAACAGAATTGCTTTAGAGTCACTTTTCCCACCTTTTCTAGAAACCTCACTTACCCAAAACATGATACAGGAAACTATGCGAACTAAATGTTTAGCCTAATGCTTATGAGGTGGATGCCTTAGTTGCCCTAACTCAGATCTAGAAGTAATCTTCTGCCTGTTCCCAGAAGCCTTCCTTGTGTCACCCCCTCTGATGTGACACTGTGCTGGCTTGTATTTCTGGGCAGTTTCTATTACCCACGTGTGCATTCTCATAACTCTCTTGATTAAACAGTTTCCACCTTTTAAGTCTCTTATAACCTGTAGCTTCTTCCTTTTTTTTTTTTTCAACAATTCATCCCGGCTGCGCTTTAACCTGTTGCTCAGTCCTGTCTTGCCACCCGATGACCCCTGATTGGTTCCGCCGGACCCTCTGACGGGACTGTTAGTGTTCGTGATCCAGCGCCTGGAAGCGTCTAGTATCTACTTGTCTCTCCTTTTGTGATGGCAGCAGCTACTGATGCTCACTGCCTGAGGCCATTAAATCCACTGGTGGTTGCAAAATGGTGCTATTCTAATTATTTCATTTCTTTCCTATTTATTAGCTAAATTACTTTATATAGGGACATTTTCCCTGATCCTTTGGTTGGTTACCCAGGAGTACCGTTTGTATAAGAAAGGCAGGATAAAAGCTTGATTCTTTTCTTCTTTTTACATTTTCATGAGAATGAACACATCATCCTTTGAAGGTGACCAGTTATTTTGGGGTTTTTTTGGCTGTGCCTCACAGCCTGTGGGATCTTAGTTTCCTGACCAGAGACTGAACCCAGACTGACAGATGGGGAAGCACCAAATCCTTAACACGAGTTAGTCAGAAAATTACCTGTTTTTTCTTTTACATCATGAACCCATGGACTTAACCATGTATGATGGGCTTTCATCCATTATGACTATTGTCCCGTTGAAGCTCAAGCTATCGCATCTCCAGACCTTGAGCTCCTTATTGCATTTGGCTCTTGGCACTGATTCCGGTCCAGTGGTTACTTCCTTGTAGTCTGATAAAACGGGATGCTTTAGGTTCATCACGTCATTTCTCCTCTCCACCTGGAATCTACCCTGGTGTCTTTTAGTGGAGATGGCATTTTAGATCACTGGGCTGTTGTTGTTTCTAGACTTTTTCAGTGGATAGAGACAGGGTAAATGAGTGGACAGTCAAACTGACTGACGACTGACCGACTTTCTTTTGAGTTCATAATGATATGAGAGATCCAAATTCAGAACTACACGTTTCTATTTATACTTAACCTCTTCTGTTACATCTATGTTTCTTTTCTCCCCCAAAATCCTGGTTCTAAGACAGAGGAATGATAGAATTAGAATATCTCATAATTACTTATTTACTTTATCCCACATCACAGGCACAAAAGACTCAGGGTACTAGTCTAACACTACCAGATAGGTATACGGTTACTGAAAATAGTTAACAAAATTTTTTCTTGGTTTCTTGCTCTCTTCATTGTTGCAATTTGATTAGATTGGTCATACTATAAATCCCAGAGCATAACAGCTATTGCATACTTTGCTTTCTTCCTGTTAATCTTCATTTAGTTCTAGTTGTCTCTTCCTTACTATGATTGTCTGAAGCTCACTCTCTTGTCAGTTCCTCAGCAAGGCTCAGAGGGTGACAGTCTCGACATGAGTCAACTTGTTGTAAGAGTTGGTTGCCCTCATTTGAAAGTTAGTTTTATTGAATACCTTATTTTCCTCCTGTGAAAGTTTATTGTTTATAAGTGACATTCTCAGATAAGGGTTTGTGCCCCTTTAAAATGTTCAATAGTTTCAAGTCTTATCTTTCAAGACAGTTTTTTTGGCATTACAGTTTGTGGTATTTGTTTGCAACTTTGTTTCAATTTTCTTTTTCACGGATATGTGATTGTTATCTTGTGTTGGATGCCTTTTAGAGGCATTATTGGCTACTTCCTTTTCTCCTGTTTGTCTCAAAGCATATCTGTTGTGTTTATTTGCCCCATGTTCTTTATAATTTAATTTTCATTTCTGAATTTAAAAAAATTCTTTACTAAACTTTATCATTTAGTGTTTTGTCCTAATTTTTATTTATATTGTTCTTTCATATCATGTATCATTTTCCTAATTTCTTTTAGCTTGATTTGAAATAGTAGATTATATTTTTCATGTGTTTTGTGGGCACATCTTTCTGGCTTGCCTTCATTGTTTATAGGAAAATGTTATTCTATTCTTATTCTCTCTTTTGTAGTAATAGCTTTATATTGTATTTGACCTTGATACTTTTATCCTGATCATTTTTATGTGAAATTAGTTTTCTTAAACTTTTAGAATGAGATGGGATTCACAAGAGCTTCTTTAACTTTGAACTCTTAGTCTCTCATAGTAGAAATGAAGCAAAAGATAATTCCACTCAGAAGTTACCTAAGAGAAAGTCTAGTATACCTCTTCCTCTTTTCTGTTTCTCTCTTCCTTGATATCGAGTCTGCAAGCAAGTCCTAACATTTCTCCTTTAAAAATATATTTCAGATTCAGCCATTTATCACCATTCTAAATCATTCTGGGCCTAACCATCTAGTTTCACCTGGTTTATTATACTAACTCATATACCAGTATAATATAGATGTTCTGCTTCTACTTCTCAGCTTCTGTGTCTCCCAGAACCCACTCCTTATATGATAACCAGAGAGATTCTCTGAAAGAGGGTCAGAATACACTGGTACTCTGCGTAAAACCTGCCAGTGTGCCCCTGTAACCTTAAAACAGGTCTCAGACCCTTGATGGAGGCTGCTCAACTTCCCGTGAGCCTTGCTTGCCTCCCAGCAGCATCCCCTTCCTCTTCGCCTGTCTCTCCTGGCCCCTCCACGGCCTCTTGCATGGCGGCCCCTCAGTGTGTTTCAGGGGTAGGCCATTGGCCCGGAGCGGTGCTCTCGGAGGCAGCCGGTTACAGATTTCTGGCCGCACCTCCCCGTGGAGCGAATCCTTTCCTTGCTACCATGTACTGGACCAGCCTTTCCCAACTGTTGTTTCAGACTTCCTTTTTCAAACCAGTTACACTTGGTGACATTTAATGGACACGACCTGTTTCTGTCTTATGCTAGAACAGGGACTAGCTGCAGTTAATGTTATATACAAGACATGAAAGTGGAAATCCTTACCTTATTCCATAGAGTGAATACATATCATTCTCTTAGCATTTGGTATGTTAACTGTTGGTTTTTCATACATGCCTTTATCAGGTTGAGGAAACTTTTCTGTTTCTAGTTTGTGGGTGAAATTTTATCATAAGAGAGTGTTGGATTTTGTCAAATGACTTTTCTGTGTATTGACATACTGTTTTCTGTATTAATCCTTTATTAGTATGGCATGTTATGTGAATCAGTTTCTGGATATTAAACTTGTATTGCATTTCTAGACAAATCATAATTGTCCACAATGTATAATCTATAGTATATGTTGCTCGATTTGGCTTGCTAATGTTTTGTTAAGGATTTTTTAACCTATTTTCATGAATAGTGTCAGCTTGTGGCTTTCCTCTCTTTTTATTTTTTTTTATTAAAAACTTCAAAATTTATTTATGTAGCTTTCCTTTCTTGTAATATCTTTATCTCATCTTGATATTAGAGTAACACTGGCTTTACAGATTGAGTTGCAGCATGTTCTCTTCTCCTCTACTCTCTGAAAGAGTTTTTGTAGGGTAGGTATTCTTCTTCCATAAATATGAAAACATATTTACAGAATATGTCTTCTGTATAAAATTTAAAAAGCAAAAATAAAAATGAAAACTCCCTCACTTGTATCTCCTCCATTCTCACTGCTACAGCACTCTACTTCTGACATCAGACATGTGAGGGTTTCCACACATCATGCAGCTGTGCAAAATCAGCTGGTGTCCTGCAGTTTAACTCAATCCTGACACTAGGTTAATGGCTTAAGTCCCACCAAGACTGCACCCACTTCAGATGCCAGTCAGAATGCCAAATTCTGACCTATGCTGCCTGCTGACTTTCTGTAAATCAGAGGTTTCCACAGCCTCCTCCTGAAGTTCAGTTGATTTGCTACAGCAGCTCACAGAACTCACAGAAACATTTACTTATTTCATTAGTTTGTTGTCAGTTCAGTTCAGCTCAGTTGCTCAGTCATGTCTGACTCTCTGCGGCCCCATGGAGTTTTTATAAAGGACATGACAAAGAATACAGATGAACAGCCAGATAAAGAGGTGCATAAGAGTTCAAGATGGTGGGTGGGCTTGTTGAAGTCTTCTGTATCTTTACAGATTTTTCTGTCTCTGTTCTGTCAGTTGTTGAAGGCTAAATTTTGAAATCCCCAGTTGTAAAAAAAAAGCAGGATTTGCCTGCTTTTTTCATTTATATTTGTTTTTCTGTCATGTGTTTTGGGGCTTTGCTCAGACCTAAAAGAAGCAAAAGAGATTAACAGGAGACAGCAAGAATACACAGAAGAACTATACAAAAAGGTCTAAGGACCCAGAGTCATTGTTATCGTTTTCACTGTTTTCTTGAATTCTTTGAACATATTTATTATAGTTTTGAAGTCATTGCCTACTCAGTTCAGCATCTGGCCCATTAGGGTCAGTTTCTGTTGTCTGATTTTCTTTGAGAGTATGGCTCACATTTTTCAGTGTTTTTGCATATCTCATTATATTTTGTTGAAAACTTGGACATTTTAGATTCTGTTGTGTCATTTGGATTCTGAGTTTTTACAAAAAGATTTGTAATTGTTGCTGGATTTCTATGGTTTTTTTGTGTGTTTCTTTTTTTTGTAAGATGCCTGGAATTACTCTCTAAAATCTCTCCCCTGTGTCGCATATCCACTGATATCCCAGGTTACTTTTTTATTTTGATTTTTGTTTTCTAGCCTGACTTCTAGGGTTTGTTCCATATCTGCTTGATTTAGCCTGCTCATTTCCCTATCTCTGGATGGGAGCAAGGGAGGGCATGGAAGTCAGTGTTTTGGCAGTTTTCCTGTGTGTGTATGCGTGTGCGTGCATGTTTGTGCGTGCATGTGTGTGCACACACGCACATGCACACGCACACCCAGCTCTCCGTTTTCTTGAGGACATGTGCCTCGAGTAACCCCAGACTGCATGATGTTCTCATCGAGTCCTTCTTTGTTCTCTGACTTCCAGAATCTTCTTGTTAGATTTCTGGCTAGTTCTCATGTCTGGCACCCCCTAGCCACACCACATTCTCGAGCCAGCAAAGATGCAAGCTTTTCTGTATGTCCTCAGTTACGCTCCCTACTCTGACTTTTAGGATCTCTGCCCAGGCACTGCCCCTGCTCTGCACCAGTTAGCACGAGGTCGCTGGAGACAGAGTCCCCTCTTGGGAGAGCTAAGCTGCAGCCGCAAGGGCAGCCCCAGGCGAGAACACGTAGGCTCTCACTGTTCCTACCTGAGTTGGGTAGTTTTTCCGTGAATGAAGTCTTCTCAGTTTGTTGTTTGCCTTGAATTGATTTGAAGACCCCTGGAATCATTGTTTCTTACCATTTTGAGTGATTTTATAGTTGTTTTGCCAACCTTTTCCCTCCACCATAACCCAAGTCATACCCTTCCTTGATTCTTTTCTAAGCTAATTTGTCCCAGAGAAGACTCTGGATCTAATGCTAGATTCTTGGTGGACATGATTTTATATGGCTTTTAAAATGTGGGGGGCAGGATAATAAAGCTTGGTCTTCTGGTTAGGGTTGTAGCATGAAAATTTCCCCAGAAGTGAGACCACAAAACCAATTGGCCGAGTGAGAGTGAGTGAATTGTGTCGTTTCCATCACGGGTGAAATGCTTTGTGGGAGGCAGAGTTGGAGTGTGAGGAGTCCTTATTTTTTGAGGTTAGTTCCTCCTGACTTTGCTGCACATCACTGTGGACTCCCTGCCTCTGTGTGGTATGATTTTGGCCCCGTCTGTGGGGTGTCGATCGGGAGTGTCACTCTGTCTCTGTGCTTGCTTGTCCCCCAGGTGCAGAAGGACTCCGGGTGGAGTTTGACCGGCAGTGCTCCACCGAGAGGCGTCATGACCCTCTCACAGTCATGGACGGCGTCAGCAGGGTCGTCTCCGTGCGGTCAGGTAGGAGGGGCTGAGCCTGCCCCTGTAGAACAGAACCGTTAGCTAACAGAACCACTAAATAGAGCACTACTGCTGCATTCTCACATGCGTCTGCAGGAGAGGACGATGCGTGACCTAACTGCAAAGTACAGTAGGTTTTATCTGTTTTCCCCTGTGCTTTCAGTAAGATGATTTATTCAAGTGATGCATGTGCCTCCCCACTGGGGGGTGGGATTACTGGTGTCCAGTGTGACTGCCGGTCCTTGTTGGGGGCACTGGTTGTCTGGGTGAGGGGGGGGCCAGTCTCACCTAGACAGTGGAGATGGTGCTGTAAGGCGTTTGGGAGTGTCAGACTGATGCACGGTAAAGATGGACAAGGCTTCTTAAAGGTTTTATTTTTTAGTTTTGATTGCTGTGAGGAGTTAGGCTCCACACGGAGTAAGTGTCGTATGCACGTGGTGGACAGTACTGGAGTAGGTGGGAGGTGTCTCCTTTGGGTCTCTCTCTGCTCTGATGTGCTCCATGAGATTGAACAGGAGCGAATCACTCTGTCTAGGGGCTTGTTAAATGCCCTTCACTGGCTTTTTTAGAATCACTGGTGCAGGTGTATATGTGTCTGTGTGTGCGGATCTCTTCGGATATCTTTATTCTTCGTCTGGAGCCAGGGTCGACAATTGTTTCCTAACATAACTACTCCCCTCTGCCTTTGTAGCAAAGGCAGCCACAGACTAAATATAAATGATGGGCCTGGCTGTGTACCAGTGGAATTTTACTCACAAGACATTACTTTGGATGCAGTGGTATCACAGATGAGCATGGCAGCTTGGCAGATGCCACTGTAGTATGCGGTGGTGTTCTGAGATGTCTCCAGCTTCTCTGCTTCCAGCAGGGCCCCTTCCAGGCTACCCCCACCCTGCTGGCTGATGACTCCTCTGAGCGGAAGCTCGGTTGGGATGGCACACCATAAGCTTGTCCCCCAGCTCCTCTCCAGGACACCCCAGGCTCTGGCAGGGCTGCTCTCCCCTCCCTCGAGGGTGGCTCGTCTGTGCTGAACTGCCCCTGTGCTTCAGTGGGGGCCCTGTGTCTTTGAACACTTGATTCCCCTTTGAGGAAGACTGAGGCTTTCTCTTTGGCTGCCTGGGTAATAACCATTACATCAGATCCTCTCAGAGAAAGTTTTGTAGGCCCTGACCCTGGAGTGAGCACAGACTGGCTCTGTGGGCCTCTCCCATAGCATTGTGGTTGTGTGTGAGTGTCTTCTTTTGGGGCAGTGCCTGCCTGTCCCCTGCTTCCCAGTTGCTTGCTGCAGTGTGAGCTGAAGGCCTTGGTGTGAACGCACCTGGGCAGTGGGCTGGAGGAGCCAGCTGTCTTTCAGGCAGGGTGTGAGTGACTTTGTATCTAAGGAAGTTGATGTTGATCTGATGATGGGTAAACCCACCACCAGTGTGCTTTTGTCCCCCAGGCCGGGAGTGGTCTGACTGGTCCAGCGAACTGCGCATCCCAGGGGATGAGTTGAAGTGGAAGTTCATCAGTGATGGGTCTGTGAATGGGTGGGGCTGGCGCTTCACAGTCTACCCCATCATGCCAGCTGCAGGTGAGGAGTGGGCTTGATGATCCAAGCAAGGGAAATACACATGTATTTTCATTTGGTTCTTTGTAGTCTACATTCTGTTGTGTTGGGACCCAGCACTGGCCAAGGCCCCACCACATCAAGGTTCAGAACTGCAATGAGCTGTTTCAGTTGTCTGGCTGTTGGGTTGTAGCACTCTATTTTCACCCAAAGTTTCCCAACTGTTGCTGGTTGCAGTTCTTCAGCCATGTGAGTTTTCAGGTGAAATGTCAGTGTACGGAACGTGGGTAAGTGACACGACAGTGGCCGCAGCCCTCTAGCCGTGGCATCCATGTGGGTGAAGCACTCACTGTGGGTTGAATCTCCTTGTGGGGTAGCTGTTGCTCTGCCCAGCAAGGGGACAGTTACAATTCCCTTTCTTCAGGTCCCAAAGACCTTCTTTCTGATCGCTGTGTCCTCTCGTGCCCATCCATGGACTTGGTAACTTGTTTGTTGGACTTCCGGCTCAACCTTGCCTCGAACAGAAGCATCATCCCCCGCCTCGCCGCGTCCCTGGCAGCTTGTGCACAGCTGAGTGCCTTGGGTAAGTGGCACCTCTGTTGTCAGGTCTGTCTGTCTTCTTGCGAAGAATGATCATCCTCTGACTTTTCTGTCTTCTCATTTCAGCTGCCAGTCACAGAATGTGGGCCCTTCAAAGACTGAGGAAGCTTCTTACAACTGAATTTGGACAATCAATTAACATAAACAGGCTACTTGGAGATAATGATGGGGAAACAAGAGCTCTGGTATGAAACATTACATTATAGTTTCTAGTTGTGTGACCCTTTGGGACTAAAATGTTGCTTTAATTATTTTAACTTCTTAATCACAGAAGAGTGGGAAATTTCACATAGGACTAAGAGCCGTTCTTGCATTCAGACTCCTCTATGTTGCTGCTGTACTGAGTGCAGGCTGGACTTTGATTATAGAAGCAGCCCCATGTAGATGGCTGTGAGAATAGGATTGTCTGTTGGGCTTTATGTGTCAAACTCACCACATTACCTTTGTTTTGCTGGATGAAGTAGTTAACTGTTAAAAGAATGCTTATCTTAATCACGTTGGAGGTGGAGGTTTGTGAAGCAGAAATTCCTTTCTAGTTCCCTGGGAGAACTGTTTTTGTTATACTGAAATTAAGACCAAACATTCTGCAGTGAATTTTCATGCTCTTTTTAATTTCAGTATTCATTATGTCTTTTTAGATTTTTTCCCATTTATAAATACCAATCACTTGTTTTAGGGGAGAATAGTATCAGTATAATTAAACATTTGACTCACAGAAACAAAACACTCAACTCAACTCTCCTGAATTTGGTTTCCTAGTATGCGCTGTAATTTTGTTGTTTTCTTAAAAGAGTTTTTCAGGCAGTGCTCTTGCTGCTTTGGTGAAAGGCCTTCCAGAAGCTTTGCAAAGGCAGTTTGAATATGAAGATCCTATTGTGAGAGGTGGCAAGCAGCTACTGCACAGCCCATTCTTTAAGGTAATACTTGACTTGTTTTGAGGTGGTGAGAGAACCACAGAGAGCTGTCAAGTACAGTACATTAAATATCAGGCATCCCGGAGGACAGGTGTGGGTATCAAAGTTGGATGTGAAACATTTTCAAGATTGTCTGCGTGATCTAAGCTCTTGTGCTTTGATAACAGTGTGCCTTCAGATGCTTTTACTTAGGTGGCAAGTATTGTAGCAGTGATCTGATCTGAGTTCCTATTGTCAGGTGCATCACTAGGAACTGGGTAGGAATAATCCACATCATTGGTGATGCCACGCCCCTTGCTGGGCATGTGGCAGTTATCCTGGAGTTAGGAATTCTGAGGGAAGACCTCCAGAGAGCCTGCGTGGGGGCTGTCTTTGGCATGCAGTGCTGGTGAAATAGAATGTTAGCTGTGTCTCTGAGTGTCCCTGTGTTGTTAATTTTTGGTGGCTGCAGGTACTAGTAGCTCTTGCTTGTGACCTGGAATTAGACACGCTCCCTTGCTGTGCTGAAACACACAAGTGGGCTTGGTTCCGGAGATACTGCATGGCCTCCCGCGTTGCTGTGGCCCTGGACAAGAGAACGTCACTGCCCCGTCTGTTTCTCGACGAGGTATGGTACCTTATTTTGGAACCTCTTTGGGGATGCAAAGTGTTTTCTTTTATAGTGTAAAGAGATGCCAGTGTTATGAGATAGTAACATCTGCAAGGCAAGGAATATCATTAAAAAAAGAAGCACATAGTTGAAAATGAGTAACACTGAATTTCAGTTAAAGTTTATTTTTAGTAAAGATATAATGATACTGCCTAGACATTTTAAAGTATCTTCAATGTAATATAATGTCAGTTTTGATTTTTTACCCTAAAATCACAATGTTGATGTTGGCATTCCCTCATTTTCTTGGTTGGGAAGACTTCCTCTCCTGTCTTCTTGCCTTAGTATTATTTATTTTATTCCTGAGAGATGAGTGCTTGATTTATAATCTCATAATAATATTGTCCAGGTGGCTAAGAAAATTCGTGAGTTGATGGCAGATGGTGAGAACATGGATGTTCTCCATGAGAGTCACAGCGTTTTCAGAAGAGAGCAAGACGAACAGCTTGTGCAGTGGATGAACAGGTTGACTATAGCCAAACAAGAGTTAATATTGTCTGTGGGAAAAGGGCGCCTCACATGAGTTCTTTCCCATGTCAATTGTGTTTTAATGTCTGTTACAGGCGACCAGATGACTGGACTCTTTCTGCTGGTGGCAGTGGAACAATTTATGGATGGGGTCATAATCATAGAGGTCAGCTTGGGGGCATTGAAGGTGCAAAAGTTAAAGTCCCTACGCCATGTGAAGCCCTTGCAGCTCTCAGACCTGTGCAACTAATTGGAGGAGAGCAGACGCTCTTTGCAGTGACAGCTGATGGGAAGGTAAGAAGGTGTGTTTTCTGTGTCATACTGACATCGAAACAGAGACAGCTGTGGCTGGAGGGCAGTTTGGATCAGAGTGTGTATAAGGATTCTGTACTAAAACATTATTTCAAGATTAATAGTATTTATGGCATTCTGAAAGCAGTATGCCATAAATTCTGTAGTATTTCTGTATAATCTTTAGTGTATTTTATGACTTTAGAATTTTTTACTTTGAAATGCAGCATACATACAAGGTATGTATATATGATATACAAGGTATATTATAGTTATTGGCGTATCCGTCCATTTGACATATGTATTACATTTTTGTCTGCTGTCATGCTGCTGGCATTATGCTATCATAATGTCTTTAAAAATTTTTTTAATTGGAGGGTAATTGCTTTATATTATTGTGTTAGTTTCTGCCGTACATCAACATGATCATCCACAGGTATACATATGTCCCCCCCCCCCCGGGCCCCCCCGCCACACCCCACAACACACCACACCGCTCGAGAGTCACACAGCACACCGTGTGAGAGCCCCCTGTCACACACATGCACACGCGATATCTGTTACACACACGGCGCTATATACGCCACAGTGGCCACGTCAAAACACACCCCCCCCCCCCCCCCCCACACTGTCCACAAAACTCTGTTCTCTCTCTCCACATCCACACTGCCCCCCCACAGAGAGGCCCCACAACACCCTCTCTAGAGACCACATATATATATGTTAATATACAATATTTGTTTTTCTCTGACTTACTTCACTCTGTATAATAAGCTCTAGGTTCATCCTCCTCATTAGAACTGACTCAAATACGTTCTTTTTGTAGCTGAGTAATAATCCATTGTGTATACGTACCACAGCTTCTTTATCCATTCATCTGTTGAGTGACATCTATGTTGGTTCCATGTCCTAGCTACTGTAAATAGTACTGCAGTGAACACGTGTCTTCTTCAATTATGGTTTTCTCCGGGTATATGTCTAGTAGTGGAATTGCTGGGTTATATGGTAGTTTGGAATAAAACTAGTTTTTTAAGGAATCTCCATACCATCTTCCATAGTGGCTGTATCTATTCACATTCCCACCAACAGTGCAAGAGGGTTCCCTTTTCTCCACACCCTTTCCAGTATTTATTGTTTGTAAATATCTTGCTGATCGCCCTTCTGGCTGGTGTGAGGTGATAACTCATTGTAGTTTTGATTTGCATTTCTCTAATAATGAACAATGTTGAGCATCTTTTCATGTGTTTTTTGGCCATCTGTATGTCTTTAGAGAAGTGTCTGTTTAGATCTTCCACCAATTTTTTTTATTGGGTTCTTTGTTTTTCTGATATTGAGCTGCATGAACTACTTGTATATTTTGGATTGCAGTTATTTTCTTCTGTTCTGAGAGTTGGGAGAAAATAATTGCAATTATTTTATCCTTGTTTATAGTTTCCTTTGATCTACAAAATCTTACAAGTTTAATTAGGTCCTCCTTGTTTATTTTGTTTTTATTTCCATTATTCTAGGAGGTGGGTCATTGAGGATCTTACGTGATTTATGTCAAGGGGTGTGCTGCCTATGTTTTCCTCTAGGAGCTTTCTAGTTTCTGGCCTTTAATCCATTTTGAGTTTATTTTTGTGTATGTCTCAGGAGATGTTCTCGTTTCATTCTTTCATGTGTAGCTGCCCAGTTTTCCCAGCACCACTTTTTGAAGAGCTCTCTTTTCTCCATTGTATATGCTTGTGTCATTTGTCAAAGATAAGGTGCCCATAGGTGCTTGGGTTTATCTCTGGACTTTCTGTCTTATTCCATTGGTCTATATTTTTGTTTTCTGTGCCAACCATACTATCTTGATTACTATAGCTTTGTAGTATAGTCGGAAGTCAGGAAGGTTGATTCTTACAGCTCTTTTTTTCTTTTTCAAGGTTGCTTTGTCTGTTCGGGGTCTTTTGTGTTTCCATACAAATTGTGAAATTTTTTGTTCTAGTTCTGTGACAGATACCGTTGGTAGTTCGGTAAGGATTGCATTGAATCTGCTTTGAGTAGTATAGTCAGTTTCATGATATCTATTCTCCAATCCAAGAACGTGGTATATCTCTCCATCTTTTTGTGTTGTCTTTGATGTCTTTCATCAGTGTCTTATAGTTTTCTGCATACAAGTCTTTTGTCTTTTTAAGTCAGTTTATTCCTAGGTATTTTGTTCTTTTTGTTGCAGTGGTGAATGGGATTGTTTCCTTAATGCCTCTTTCTGATTTTTCACTCTTAATGTATAGGAATGCAAGGAATTTCTGTGTATTAATTTTATTAATATATCCTATGATTTTATTCTGGAGAAGGAAATGGCAACCCACTCCAGTATTCTTGCCTGGAGAATCCCATGGACGGAGAAGCCTGGTGGGCTACAGTCCACGGGGTCTCAAAGAGTCGGACACGACTGAGTGACTTCACTGACTTACTTACTTACTTATGACTTTGTTATATTTGTTGATCAACTCTAGTGATTTTGATTGATTAGCTCTGCTTGTAGGCTACCCTGTAGTGTTTGTTCCTTAGCCAGGCAAGAGGTGGAGAAGGCCAAGGCTTGTTAGGGTTCACTCGTTCACTTGGGCTGTGGAGAGGGTGGAATGTGGCAGCCACAATTAGGATGTACTGGGCAATGCCTGCGGCGTTAGACTTGCCAGATGTTGTCACAGTCTAAGGCGGGTCGTGTGCTCTCCCAGAGGAATATACTCAATTTGTGGGTCCCTAGGAAGAACCAAGCTGCTTAGACTCCCAGCATGGCTTGGGCAGTAACCTGTGCCTGCTCACAGCTGTTGGCAGCTGCCATCTCTGGGATTGGGACTGCAGTGGCGGCTTTTTGTCTGCTGCCTCAGGCACTTGCCCTGGTTTTGGCAGTGTCTAGTCACTTATGTTTACATAAACTGCAGTCGTGTCACATTCTGCCTCTGGCTTTCCTACCAGTTTTGCCGGTTTTGGCAGCCACCACCTGGGCACACACCGCTGTCTGCAAATGCGTGGAGTTAGGAGTTGGGGTGTTCCAGTGACAACGGTATTTTGTCTCTCCAGGATGNCTGATATTTAAAGCTTGTGCCTCAGCACTCCGCCCCCATTTGTTCCAGGCCAGCAGTGTGAGCAGCTTCTCACCTGGGAAGTAATGTTCGGCAGCTGTCTCTGTGGTGACTTCTCTCCATTTTGCCTTCCGAGCACCCGCCATTGTGCTCCCCTCTCAGGTTCTGAAGCTCCCCCTTCCCCTTCCAGGAGGCGTTTCCGAGTATGTGGAAACTTTTCCTCCTTTACAGCTCTCTCCCCAGGGCTCAGGTCCCGGTCCTGAAATCCTTTGTCACTTTTTTTTAACCTTTATCTTTTGACCTACCTCATTCTAAGGAGATTGACTTGCCTTTTTGAAAGTCTGGGTCTTCTGCCAGCATTCAGAAGGTGTTCTTTAGGAGTTGTTCCATATGTAGATGTATTTTTGATGTATTTGTGGAGAGTAAGGTGATTTTCCCATCTTATTCTATCACCATCTTGGAAGTTCTCCCATAATGCTGTCTTTTGAAAAATTGCTACTGATACGTGGAAATAGTTGTTATTTATATATTGACTGTATGTCTAGTGAAAGTGAAAGTCGCTCAGTCGTGTCCAACTCTTTGCAATCCCATACAGTCCATGGAATTCTCCAGGCCAGAGTACTGGAGTGAGTGGCTGTTCCCTCCTCCAGGGGATCTTCCCAACCGAGGGATCGAACGCAGGTCTCCTGCATTGCAGGTGGATTCTTTACCAGCTGAGCCACAAGGAAAGCCCTGAAGCAAAGAGAAGCCCAGCTGTCTAGTGACCTTATTATATTCTTTTCTTTCTTAGTATCTCAAGCTGTTTTGTATCATCTTTATAAATTCATGTTCTGAGATAAATTTTGTTCATTCCTTTCCAGTTCACCTGTCTTTTACAGAGAAATGGAGCTAATTGGGCTGGGTGGGAATTGCAGTATAATACTGAACAGGGGTGGTGGTGGTGGTGGACCTTCTTTTTGTCTTAATTTAGGCTGCAAAGGAAACACTGTGATGGGATCCTTCACACACTTACTGTGAGGTTTTGATAGATGCCCTTTATCAAATTAAGGAAGTTCACATCTTTTTCTGTTTATGAATGGATATTGACGTGTCAAACATCTTTCTACATTTAAAACACTGTCATACAGATGTTTTTCTCCTCATGTTGTTGTTTAGTCACTAAGTCATGGCCAGCTCTTTGCAACTCCATGGACTGCAGCATTCCTGTCCTTCACTGTTTCCTGGAGTTTGCTCAAACTCATGTCCACGTTGGTGAAGCTGTCCAACCATCTCATCCTCTGTCACCCCCTTCTCCTGCCCTCAGTCTTTCCCAGCATCAGGGTCTTTTCCAGTGAGTCAGCTCTTTGCATCACGAGGCCAAAGATTAATATAGTGAATTAGATTGATTGCTTTTCCTGTATCAAACAGTCTTGCATTCATTGAAGAAACCTTACTTGGTTAGGTTCTGTTTTATTTATAAGTTTATAAATATATATATATATATATGTATATATGTATGTATACACACACACACACACACACACACACACACACACACACATATTGGTTTGTGTTTGGAATTTTTGGGAGACCCAGGGTCATGAGTGTGCTCATCATAATATATCTGTCGTACCCATTCCGCGTCAGGTTATGATACCATATTATCGTTTAACTTACCACGGTTTGCATAGAACAGTACACATTTACTATTTCACAGTCTGTCTGGGTAACTCAGCTTGGTCCTCCAACCTGGAGTCTCTCGGCAGGCTGCAGGTGCTGCAGGGCACTCAGCTTGCCATGACCTGTTGGCTGAGATTGCCTTCAGCTCTGTGCCATCTCCCATGACAGCTGGCTTCGTCAAGGCGGGAGAGCCTGAGAGCAAAACAGGAGTCACAGTCTTGTGCAAGCTAACGCAGAGGTGACCTGTCATCCCTGTTGCTACATTCTGTCCATTAGAAGAGTGTCACTGGGCCCAGCCCACATCTAAGGAGGGATTACCTACCAAACAGGGACTCTGGGAAGCAAATCAGAGGCTACCCGCCAGAAGTATCAAGGTCATGCTACCCAGAAGTATCAAGGGTTGAAGTGTAGCTCTCTTTTTCTGTTTTCTGGACAATTCTGTCTTTTAGTTGTTTTCTGGTTGTTTTAACATATTTAAAATTTAAAGTTAATCAGTATTTCTGTACTTCTCCCAAATAAGAAACGGTGATTCTCTGTTATTCTGTGTTTTGGCTCTAACCTGTGTCCCTAATGATAAGCATTATTATTATTGTTTTTTTATGTAGACCATATATTTTCTGGATTTACCCAAACGTTATACACATCTTTTCTCACCAGTTATTTCTTATGTCTTGGATTCTCTGGGATGATTTTCCTTCTCATTTCAGTTCAGTCGCTTAGTTGTGCGTGACTCCTTGTGACCCCGTGGACTGCAGCACGCCAGGCCTCCTTCCATCGCCAACTCTCGGTGTTTACTCAATTTCATGTCCATTGAGTCGGTGATGCCATCCAACCATTTCATCCTCTGTCATCCCCTTCTCTAACTGCCTTCAATCTTTCCCAGCATCAGGGTCTTTTCAAATGAGTCATTTCTTTGCATCAGGTGGCCAAAGTATTGGAGTTTCAGCTTCAGTGTCAGTCCTTCCAATCACTATTCAGGACTGATCTCATTTAGGATGGACTCGTTGGATCTCCTTGCAGTCCAAGGGACTCTCAAGAGTCTTCTTTGACACCACAATTCAAAAGCATCAATTCTTTGATACTCAGCTTTCTTTATAGTTCAACTCTCATATCCATACATGACTACTGGAAAAACCATGGCCTTGACTAGATGGACCTTTGTTGGCAAAGTAATGTCTCTGCTTTTTAATATGCTGTCTAGGTTGGTCATAACTTTTCTTCCAAGGAGCAAGCATCTTTTAATTTCATGGCTGCATCACCATTTGCAGTGATTTTGGAACCCCCAAAATAAAGTCTGTTACTGTTTCCACTGTTTCCCTATCTATTTGCCATGAAGTAACGGGACCAGATGCCATAATCTTAGTTTTCTGAATGTTGAGCTTTAAGCCAACCTTTTCACTGTCCTCTTTCACTTTCAAGAGGCTCTTTAGTTCTTCTTCGCTTTATAATAAGGTTGTGTCATCTGCATATCTTCTTTGCTCTATAATAAGGGTGGTGTCATCTGCATATCTGAGGTTATTGATATTTCTCCTGACAATCTTTATTCCAGCCCAGAGTTTCTCATGATGTACTCATTGCATATAAGTTAAATAAGCAGGGTGACAATATACAGCCTT